TTTCTTTATGCATTTTTCTCCTTCATTTTTATTTGCTTTTATTTCATTTTTGTTTCTCTTTGAATTTGAATCAAATTGTATAAAAATATGTATTGTTCAATCATGATTTGGTGACATGTATTTTCACTTTAATTTATAAATCTTAGATTAAAATGTGTTTATACGAATTTTATATATATATGTTGTTTTAGGCAGCAAACACTAAAAATTATTTCTCAAGTCCATTAAAGAAAATATTAACTCTTTTTACTATGCTTAATTTTTTATTTGATGTTTTGCAGCACCAGCATAGTTGGGTGGATGTTCATGTTGTGCATTGGTTTTAATGCAGCAATAAGGTAGGTCTGTGTGACATTTTCGTTTTTTAATATTCAAATTACGTAAAATTTGATCAATATCATAAAATGTATTTTTTGATCAAGTTGATATGAGAAGAATTATAATTTAAGTAGTATTTTTGTATTGTTTTTTAAATATATAAATTTTAATTTTAGAATATCACTATTAATTTTTTTTTTCTTTTATTGAAAAATATTTAGTGGCTATTTTCATAAATATTTTTTATTGAATCAGTGAAAAAAGAAAAAAATAGTAATATTTTCACATGAAAAAATAAGGAAGTTTCTCAATATTTAAGGGAAAATCTATTTTCCATCAAGCATTTTTTCAGTGAGCTAGTTTGTTAAGACGGGAAAATCATATTTTATAGCATAAATTTCTCATTGATTCGCGATGGTAATTTATTTTGTTTCTAGTAGTGTATTGATTTGATCTAATCCAGTTTAACTTCAAAGGTTAGTCAATTTGACTCTTCAAAAGTGAAATGTGTCATATAAATTTGGCCAAAGATTATCATTCTGAATCATTTGATTTCTCATATTGTCATTCAACTAATTGTTATTATATCTTAAAGTCACTTTCTTAGTCGTTTAAGAAAAATGGAATAAAAAAAAATGATCACATTTTGAGATAATAAGTATTAGTTAAATAACTATCTAAGAGATATCAACCTGATTCTGAATAGAGTAATTAACCTAAAAAATGAATTTGTTTTTTTTGGTGCAGTGTTAGGGTGTCAAATGAACTAGGAGCTGGGCACCCCAGAGCAGCAAAATTTTCAGTCATGGTGGTGTCAATTATTTCACTTTTATTTGGAGTGATAATTACAATAGCACTTTTTCTTGCTCGAAGTCGATATCCACCTTTGTTTACAAACAATTTTGAGGTTCAACAAGTCGTGTCTGAACTTACCCTACTTTTAGGAACTACAATTATGCTTAACGGTCTTCAACCTACCCTTTCAGGTATATTTCCTTCGTCTCAAAATACTTATAGTGTTTTCTTTTAGAGAATCAAAATCAATTACTAAATCTGTCTTTTTTTTAAAAAAAAAAAAAAAAAAAAAAAACAGTCTCTGTGTTTCTCAATTCTTTCCTTTGACTTTTTTTTATTATTTTATAAAACGTGCGATAATTTTATTCATTCAAATAAGGAAGTTGTGCATCATATTATCCTATAAACTTACAATTTTGCATCATATTATCCTATAAATTATGTTTCGCATCCTTAAAGAATGTAATCCTCGTTAGACATTAATTTGACTTCAAGAGGTAAAAAAAAGTTAAAGATCAGCACATTTGAAAGACAACAATTAATGACCAGTTTATTAAAATGACCAAAATTAAAGATCAATAGATTGAAGGGTAAATCATGTAACTAAATGATACAAATATCTGCTCTAGGATCGGCATTTAAAAGTAGATTTAGAGAAATAACTTTTGTATATTTAACTAGCGAATATAATTATTTTAACCGATCAATCAAATATTAATACAAGATAAATGATTCTAGGTGTGGCAATTGGAGCAGGATGGCAAACATATGTAGCTTACATTAACATAGTATGCTACTATGTATTTGGTATTCCTTTGGGCCTTATTTTATGCTTTTTCCTCAACAGGGGTGTTAAGGTAATTGTAATCTCCTCCTCTCCTTTTTATTTTTATTTTTATAGTATTCTTTTTATTTTAATTTACGTTACAATATTTTATTAACTATATAGAGTTTAAAAAGGAAGAAGGGAGTTTTTTGAAATTTGTATTTGAGTATGAATTACTCATTTCTTCAGTTAGGAAATGACTATTGTTAATAATAAAGGTAAATAAGGAATTAAATGACAAATTATTTCTTAATTTTTAAAATTAAAATAATAAAAGTGGACATCTATTTTTGGTATAATGAACCAGTGAAAGTTGATGGAGAAAGTATTTCACTAAGGGTACGCAAAAGGCAATTTAAAAATTAAATTATTTCAAATTATAGAAAGATAATACTCTCTCCATTTTAAAATAAATGAATTTTTGAGGTGTGCACCCCTATTAAGAAAATTAGTTAATAATATCAATTAAAGGATAATTTATCCATATTGTCCTTTTGTTTCTTCTTAAAACTAGATTTAGAGTTGAAAAACTCATTAAAGAAAAAAGTAATTTTGGAAATAAATAATAAAGACATCCTTGGATTTTGAAAAATTCATTCATTTTGGAACATAGAGAAAATGTCAGAACCTTATTTCTTAGGCACTAAAGAGAGGTTTTTTTTTGAAAGACAGATTAAAAAAAATACAAAACAATGTTGGAAATTTTATTGTATATGATTTCTCCAATCTCATGATTCTTCTATTTCTTTTGGTTTGTAAACTATAAAAATTGTAGGGCATGTGGATTGGAATGTTGTTAGGAACCATACTTCAAACAAGTATTCTTATTCTCATGATTTCCAAAACTAACTGGAAAAAAGAGGTAATGTATTACATATTCAATATATTTTTATTTTTCTCAATATGTTTTGAAAAGAAATTGCAATATGGATGTGTTTGATATGAAGGAAAATGTTTTTCTAGAAAACATTTTTTGAAAAATAAATGAATTTCTTACTTATTTTTTAGTATTTGATAAGTAGTGGCGTAGCCACATGGTGGTCAGGGTGTCCAATTCGTCGAAAAAAAATATTGTATATACAAGTAAAAATGATACACGAAATAATTAAATAACATATTTTGAACACCTTTATCATAACAAATTGTTATAGCCCAGTGGTTTCACCTCCTTAGAATGAGAAAGTGCTATTTCTGGACACCCTTTGTGAAATCTGGCTCCGCTAAGAAAATATTATTCCAAAAGACTTTATATGTTATCTAGCAAAACACTATAAAGATGGAAGGAACTGAGATGGCGAATGGGGGTTCAGGGGAGGCAGGGTCAGTGAGCTTGTTTTTGGGAGGTCAAAAGTCTTTTTTTTCTTCTTCAATAAATGCTTATTTTTAAAATGTAAGGTATTTAGACTAAATTTTTAGAAAAAAAAAATAAGTGTTTCGAGGAAATAACAAGAACTATTATTTAGAAGCTAAATAAAGTAGTTTTTTTGAAAAACACAGAAAATATATTAGAATCATTTTTTTAAAAACGTTTGGCCAAGTACTTAGTATTGCTCAAAAGCTTTTTTTTTTCTTTTTTTTTTTAGCTTTGATTAGTCAAAAACAAACTATTTCTCACAAAATTACTTTTTAAAATAAGCTAATTTTGAAAAAGTTGACCAATCAGCGGAGACAAAAAACACTAGTGATTCTTCTCATTTGTCTTAACTTTGATGGACAGAGTTATCTAGTAACTATTGCTAGTGGGAGGTGGTAGGTATCCCATGAAATTAGTCAAGGTGCACGAAAGCAGACCCGAATACCATGATCATTAAAAAAAAGAAGTTGACCAAATAGACTAAATATAATTTATTTATTTTTAAATTGGGGGTAGGGGAAGGGGAAATGGAGAAGGAATTATAAGGTGCGGAATCGAACTCTCACTAACAAGGTGGGAGTTCAGGTAGTCAACCAGCTGAGCTATTAACATTTTTCAATATAAATATTTATATCACGAAAAAAAATTAACAAATATTTTAACAAAAATAACTTAATAGATACCAAACAGAGCTTACTACTTTCATTTTTCTACTTATTGCAGGCTTTAGTTGCTGAAGAAAGGGTAAAAGAATGGAGAGGTAGCAAATGATTAAGGGCTTGTTTGGACATGATCTTAAATAGGTTTGATGTAACTTTGAAATTTTAATTGGACAAGTGATTTGGATTTCATAAATTGTAATTTTGTAATAAATATCAAAACTTCATAATTTATGAGAACTATCAAAATTAGTTTCTCAACTCTATTACAATTTTACCAAATGAGAAAATCGCGATTCATAAATAAGGTATTGAAATATTCTAAGCCGTCACATTAATGAATCACATATTTTCATTTTATAAATAAATGTTTGTGATTACATGATATTATAAACTCCCAAATAGACATAATTTTACAAAAAAATGACTTTGTTCAAAAAATCAACAATAGTGCTAATCAGCTCTTCTTTAATATCATCCTTCCATATTGTATGCACAATCTCTGAGAGGGGTTATATTGTCAATATGACCCCCGCAAAGTTTTGCCCTAATTTAGATATAGATATAATTTTCATATTTTATTTAATTTAAATATGCTATTCGCTTGTCTTTACACACGTGTAGTCACACACTCTCACCAACTCAGTCATCTTAATGTCACATAAGTTTGGTCAATGGTGAGAAGGGTTTGATATATTGTGTTCTACTGAGTTTAATGATTTAGTTGGTAAAGAGTTAAGTAGAAGGATACATAATTCAAACTCGGACAAGCATAAAGGTTTATTAGACCATTTTGCAAATTTATCATAATGCGTATTTTAGTATACTTCTCTTTGTTTTTAGTTCACCGTCGTTAAATATTGATAATTATAGCTTCTGCATGACTCTGTATTAATTACCTCAATCCCAACATATCTAGAGTTCACAAAAGAAAAAGCTCAAACTAATAAGTAGAACATTCATGTTATTAGCAAAAACTTTATTACAAGTACCTAAAAGAATTGATAACTTTTTTTAAAAATAACAAATTAAATTCCTCACATAATTTTCAAATAACATGCAACTCTAGCTTGAGACCTTCAGAACACCCTTGTTTGCTTGTAGAGATGAAATAGTATGGCCCAGATTTGTCAAGAGTAATTGATGTTTTGCCACTATTATCCTTGTAGAAAGTTTTGATATTACTATCACAAAGTGCATAGCTTGAAATATCCACTGAGGCCACATCAATCACTTTTGGGACATAGAAGAAATCTGTCGATACAGAGTTAAGATTTGAAATTTATGAGTTCGAAATTATTGTAGTTATAATTTGTACGAGTTTAATAAATATTTTAAGACAAATACAAGATTTAAACCAAAATTACTGAGTTTGGTGAACTTGTAACCGAATATTTATAGCTCCACCACTGACTCTTTTCTTTGTGAATAAAATTTCATGACAAATTCAGTAAATTTATTCTCTTCGCTTTAATTTAAGTGGCGATTTTGATTGGATATGGAGTTTAAAAAATAAAAAGATGTTTAAAAAATGTGATGAAAATCAATTGTATAACTATAAATCATTTCATTGGGATAAAATGAGAAATAGATTACTATATGACAAATAATACAATCTTGCTTGATGAGTTTTAAGTAACTACTACTTCCCTACATGACGGTGTTGACTTCCACATTAATTTAAGAAAGAAAGACTTTAAAGCTACGTGACGTTTTGAGGTTACAAATCATACTATCATTAAGGTATGTTCAGTACGACGAAAAAGAAAATAAGTTATTTTCTATCAAACAAACACCAATATTTCTTTTTAAGAAAAAAAAATTATTAAAAGGAAAAAATTAACTTTCACCACTTATGTATTTCTCTCAGGATGTAATTAATTTAAAATATTTTCTAACTTTAAAGAGTATTAAACTGTGAAACAAATGTCTTCGTCCCATTCTTATAGAATTTATTACTAGAACATCTCTAAATGACGAATAAGGTTAATCAGAGAGAAAAGAGTTTTTCATGAAAATAATTTTCCAAAATCTAAAAAATAAATATTAGAACATGCCAAGTGCACCTTAAAATTAAAAAATAGATATTCATTTCTTCTTTTAAAACTAATAAAAAATAAAATGTTACGTAAATTGAAACAATACTTACGGAGAACATCTCCAACACGAAAGCTTTTGCCATAAGCCCATGGATGATAATCAACCCTCGGATTCCAACCTCTTTTGTCACCCACAACATACTCATTTGCTAAACTTCTTGGCATTTCAACACACAAAATCAAGAAAATGCACACAAATACTAATTTTCCTATTGAAATGGCCATTTAATATTTCACTATGTTGCTAGAGCTCTTTCTATTTAATTTCCTTTTTTCTAACAAAAGAAGATTGAAATATTAGAATAGAGATAACAAATAAGTTAAGGCAAGTATAAACATATCAATTAAAGGTTTGTTTTTATAGTGATGTTGAAGAATCCAAGTTGCTATATTTCTAAAATAAATGTTTGTTTATTAATCAACTCTATGCACGAAAGTAATACTAAATTGGCTTCAAATTATGAACTGGCTATAGACAGCAAGATTGTAGCATGAGCATATTCGCGAAAGCAAACACATGCATAGGTGGATTTAAAATTTGAACGTTATGGTCTGAATTTCGAGTTGAAAATTTTATGTGACAACCCATATCATTTACTTTGATTTGAAATCTATTATATAATCATACTTATTTTATTTTTTTGACACGTATACATGACTTTTTTTAACCCTATGATGCGTCTAATGGATCTCATGAATTTGTCCTTTGACCTATGTTATCATCTAGATTAAAAGAGCACATATCATGTCAATAATTGTGTTTTGTCTTAGATAGGTAGCGCTTCACTTTTTAATCACTAGCTTATATAAACTGTGTTATGTGCACTTTTTTTCAAAAGCTTATCAGCTCAGAAGTTTATTAGTCTTTCTCTATAACTTGTAGTCATCACGCCTTTTCTCAGGAATGTTATAAAAACTAATGAAAGAACAATAGATGGTCTCGTTATGTGTCTTGACAATCATCTTTTCTTGAGTTAATTTTTAGAATTGGGTAATTAAGTACAATATTCATTTTCTTAAATTATTACAGGGCAGAACTCATTTCAATTCTCTCTTCCAACGTTGGAACCCCATATTAAATTGTGTCCACGCACTAGATGTCCAGCTTTGGTATATGCTGGTCTTCCGCTCTTCCTCGACAGGAATTAATTAATAAGGACTTAGAATCTGAGATTTACAACCAAATTGAATAGATAAATTATACTTAAAATAATAATAATTAATAGAACAACCATAAAAGAAATAGATAGAATTTCCGGAAATTTTGGATCTTGTTATATATCCATATATATGATAAGTTGAGTGTAGCATTGAGGAAGTTTCCTTATTTAATAAGAAAATTTTATGGTGAAAAAAATATAAGACAGGATCTTATAGGCTGTTTGGCTAAGTTTTTAAGACGTTAAAAATATTTATTTCAAAAAATGATATTTGATTATGCCTTTGACGAAAAATAAATGATTTAGAAAAGTAGTTAAACTGTTTTTCGCTAAGATTTTTTTTTTAAAACATATATTTTTTAAAATAAACTGATTTTTAAAGATTAGCCCAACAAGTATTCTTTTCAGGTATAAATTGTTGTGATAATAATCTAAAATGACATTTAATTTCCTAATCAAATCAAGGCATGTGACAAGTTAATGACAATATTAAGGAAGTTGGTCATATACGGATCCGGCTCTTCTCTATTTTTATATTATTTTATTTTTTCAAATTTTTACTTAGATACAGATCAGTATTTAAAAGGTGGGGGCGTAAGGCGAGACGTTTTATGTAGTACGGGGAGAGGCGTAACCCCCGAGATAAGGGGTGTAAGTCTCATGGATCTACGGGGCTTAGCCTCACGTATATTCAATTTTATAATTTTCTTTCTTAGAAAATAAGCAAAAGTGGAACTTGCAGTGATTTTACAAATAATTTTTTAAAAATAACCTATAATATATAGAAAAAATATTATGATTTTATTTGAGATAGGTATTAATAATCAATAATGGAGAAAAAAAATATTATAATTACTATTTGAGAAATATCATTACACCAATAATAAAAAAAAATGTGATTTAAAGCAAAAAAAAAATAAAAAAATAAAAAACACTCAGAGAGTATGTATTTATGCCCAAAACTTACGTTTTTATGCTTAGGGCTTACACCCCAAATTCTAGGACTTACACCTAATGGATCTACGTCTTCAATTTGCGCCCCGGAGCGTTTTTGGTACGCCCCGCCTCAAAACTCGCCTCGAAACTCGCCCCAAAAAAATTATTTTTGAAAACACTGATACAGACATATAAAACATCTTAAGTCTTAACCATTGGTTAGAAATTAGAATATCAAATATTTTCATAACAAAGGGAAATGAAGACGAGCTCAATGACAATATTAATAAGGTTCGTTTGGTCATGGATATTTTTCATTTTTATCTGAAATATTATTTCGCAAAACTATTTAAATGAAAAATTGTTTATAATTTTTCGTAGTACAACTTTATGTTTAATTTTAGAATTTTTTGAAAATTGAAAAACTCTAAAAGAATTATTTTCATAATTTTTACTTCAAATTACTCACAAAAAATCAAAATCTACTCTAAATTTGAGTTCATATCCTAACACAACTCTAATTGTCAAATATTATTTTCAATTATTTATTTTTCAAATGTCACAACTTTTATGTTCTAACTCTCACTTATAATATCTCTCTCTCTTTTTCTGCAAAGGATATTATATTTGCTCCTTTTGTCTCAGTTAATGAATTAAATGGTAAACCTAAAGTTAAATTATCACTCAATATAAAATTAAATACATTATTTTTTAAATTGACTAAAAAAGAGCATGTCATTTTTCAAACAAATTCAATTGATTTTCCTAATAAACTAATTTGGCTAAGCTATAATCCACAAGTTTCCTCGTCAAGAAAAATATTCAAATAAAAAAATCGAATGTAATTTAACATAGCATCAAAGATCACCAACTATACACACCTGAACTATTAATTGTTCACTTTTTCTATCAAAACGATGGTCATATATCATATAGAAAAAGTGAACAATTGATAGTTGATACATATTTTGATAAAGTGGATTTTCGCATATAGCCACTCAAAAATAATTTAATTATGCTCCATAGTTATAGTTTGTTAATTACGATTTGTAGCTACACGTTAGACGGAGGAGAGAGGCGAGCAAGATTGGGAGAGGGAGGAGAGAGGTGAGCAAGAGAGGGCAGAGAGTGGAGAAAGGTGAACTGTATTGGTATATGTGTACTATAATTGTATCTATATGTGTGTAATTTGTATTTGTATATGTATAAGTGACGCAATTACAACTAAAATTAAGCTGCGAGCCGTAATTAGTTCAAACCATAGCTATGTTAGCTAATTAACTAGTATATGTACGTTTGCTTATCCGCGTAATTTTCTCTTTGATAAATAGTTGGTGATAGATAAGATAGGAGTTTTCAAAGAGTTTACCGTCAAGGCCCATTAAGAAAAAGAAAAAAAATCCTCAAGGCCCATTTACGGTGGCCCAATCCGGAACAAAGATCAATAGGACTTACACTTAATGGGCCGTAATGAGCTTGTGCTGGCCCAATTGATACCCAATTTTTTTTGGAAAAACTTCATAATATGGCAAACATTCATATATATTCAAGAAAAATAACTACATTTTATTTTTTTCATGTTATATGGATATAATTAGACTATAAATAGCAAAGTTAATTATGTACAAATAAATAATTTTTTTATATATAACTAATATAATAAATAAATATTAAATAGGAAAGTAATTATTGAATGCCTAATTAATTATGGCAGACACATTTGTGATCTTTTCCCATGTTTACCGTCATCAAATTTTTCTCTTTCATCAATATTCATACATCACATACTTTCTGATTTTTTCCCCCGAAATTCATTCAAATTCAAGATCCATTACATCACTGCAAGAGCGGTTTTTGTGATTTTGTATCCATTAGATATCTTCTAATTACATATTTATCTCATTTTTATGAACATTATATATCTACACATCTACACTTTCTTCTATTTTCATAGGGTTTTGATTCAAGAATTTGTTTATCCATTTCAATGGTTGAAATTGATACTCCGAGGAGGGTTACGAGAGATATACATTTATTTGACAAATTGTTGGATGAACTACCTTCTTTTGATTTGTGTATTACTCAACAACAAGTCAAAATTTCAGGCTCTATTGCTGCAATGGAGAACGAAAGAAGAACAAAAAAGGTTAATGACCATACCCTTAAATCTGCTTGAAGAAATCAAACATGAAAAATTAGTAAAGAGGAAAAAAGGTTCAAAAGTGAAAACTAATCTTATGATTCAAGTGGGTCTGAAAAAAGAGCAGTCAAGCAGGAACAAGAGGAAAATGAAATTGAGATTTGTATGCTTTATTTTTTTTTAGTTTAATGTCATTTACTTATATATCTCAACACATGTATTGTGTGCCATTGTCATTATATTATGGATTGTCTTCTTGTATTGAATTTGTTAGAAAATTTGATTTCGTATGTATATAGTTGTTAAAAAATGAGTACAAAAAGAACATGAACAAAAAAGAGATTAAGGGTTCTTTGATTGTCAATTTTGTATATAGTAGAATACTTATGTACATAGACATTTGTATTATTATATAACCACAAGTTGAATTGTTGATCTGTGAATACAATTATATTTGAATACATAAGTACTCTGTCAAATTTAAAATTTTGATTAAGGAATTCAAGTATAGTTGGATACATCAATACAATATTGTTGGCCTTTTCAAAATTTTATTTACAAGAATACTTATACAGTTTGATACCCACAAATTGTATATTTTTTTTGCTCATGTGTCTAATGTATTCATACTTATACAGTTTTATGCCCACAAATTGTATCTTTATTGCTCGTTTGTCTAATGTATTCATATTTTTGCTTAACAACAGTGTTGAAATGTATCCATATTTATAGACATAGATACTTGTATTGTTTTATAAGCACAAGTTGAAATGTTGATTTGCGAATATAGCTATATCTAGATAGATAAGTACTATATCCAAGATAAAAAGTTGATTAGGGAATACAAGTATAGTTGTATCCAACGTATTCATTTTTGTGTTTAACAACAACGTATTCATTGTATTCTATATTGGTGTATTCATTTTTTGTTTAACAACTAGTGTATCTTTTGCCATGTAGTTCACCTAATTCAAAATCGAAATACTTAA